AGCCCCCCGGCCTGCGCGGAAGGGACTGACGCAGGCTGGGCTTAAAATGGCTGCTGGGGCTGGGAAGCGTTGGGGGTACCAGCGTTCCTCCGGGCGACCAGCCCGGCGGCACCAGTGCTTACCACAGGGTCCACGGTGCTTTACTGGGATGGCAGCCTTCTGGTGGCACTCGGCCTTCCGGCGCTCGCAGTCGTTGCTGTAGGTCCGGCTGTCCCGGGCGCAGACAGGCCGGTAAGCACCGTCGCAGGTGACGCGGTCACAGGAGCAGCGAGCGGTGCCACGGCGGTTCAGGCAGACAGCGTTGAACTTGCACTCATCCTTGCATTTGTCTGGGAGGAGAGAGAGGACGGCACCGCTCGCACCCACCCTGGGGACTGCGGAAGGGGGGATGCCCAAGTAACCAACGATAGGACGCGAGGCAATGGCCTCAAGTTGCATAAGGGGAGGTTCAGATTGGATATTAGGAAAAATTTCTTTACTGAAAGAGTTGTGAAGCAGTGGAACAGGCTGCCCAGGGCGGTGGTGGAGTCACCATCCCTGGAGGGGTTCAAAAAACGTGTGGATGGGGCACTTTGGGACATGGTTTAGGAGGCATGGTGGTGCTCAGAGCCCTGTCCAACCCGGTCTTGAATGTTTCCAGGGATGGGGCCTCCACTACCTCTCTGGGCAACCCGTTCCAGTGTTTCACCACCCTCATTGTAAAGAATTTCTTCCTTATATCCAGCCTAAACCTACTCTGTTTTAGTTTAAAACCATTACCCCTCGTCCTGTCACTGTTGTCTCTACTAAAAAGATTGTCCCCATCTTTCCTATGGGCTCCCTTTAAGTACTGAAAGGCTGCAATCAGGTCTCCCCGCAGCCTTCTCTTCTCCAGGCTGAACAAGCCCAACTCTCTCAGCCTGTCCTCACAGGAGAGGTGCTCCAGCCCTCAGATCATTTTTGTAGCCCTCCTTTGGACCTGCTCCAACAGTTCTATGATTCTATGATTCCCTCGCTGCCAAGAGCACGGCACGGAGCGGTGGGGAAGGTCAGGAACCCGAATGCTCCCGTTCCCCAGGACGCAGAGCGGTACTTACCCTGCTGCTGGCACTGCCCTGACCGCACCTTCTGGATCTCCAGCCCGCGGACAGCCCCGGAGCGTGCCATGACGCACTCGTTGTCATACGTCACCCCGTCGTCGCCGCACACCAGCTCCTTCTTTGGGGGACAGTTCTCGGGGCGGGAGAGCAGGTCTGCCTTTCGGCTGCGGGGGTTCACCCGGCACACGCGATTCATGTCGTTGAGGACGCCTTTACAGGGGTCTGCGCACAGAGCCCGAGCAGATCGTTAGCCACCCTCAGTCCTTGCCCCGAGAGGGGCTTGCCGGCCTGCCCTCCTCCCTCCCAGCCCCGAGAGCCTCCGTACCTTCCCCAGCAGCACCCAACACGCACTCATCTTTTGCTCAGGACTGGACATCCGTGCACTAAGGTCTCATTTCTTTTTACTGAGGTCCACACACCGAGGACACGTGCCCTTTCCAAAGTGACCGCTGGATGGGATGAGCTCTGCCTTGCCTTTCTTCCCATCCTGAGCTGCCTTCCCTCCCCTCTGTCTAGGGCACAGGGCTCTCTCCCCCGAGCCAGGCGCAGCTCCGGAGCCCAAGGGGCTGTCGCTGGGCATTGCAAGATGCTTGGTGCTCCCACCCTGCTCCTCCAGCTCTCCCTCCCTGTCTTCCCCCAGTGCTGGAAGAGCCCCGAGGGCAGCCAGGGCCACATGCTGCCTTGCCCCGCTGCTCCAGCCTAGGCTTATCCGGATCACCCTCTCTGAGGAGCTGAGCTCACATTACCATACCAAAGACTGAGCAAAACAGTGCCGACTGTTCGCTAATCCCTCCTCTAGACCTGGGTTTTTCTCCTCCTTGTCAAGCACCGTACCAGGAGGGGGCTGATTCATTTTCTGCAGTTGCCGAACGTTTCCACCCTTTAACCCTCCTAGTCTGGAACCCCTGCACTGACCACAGTCCCATGCTGACACGGGGAGGAAGCAATACAGCACCCCATCTCCCCAAGCTCTCGCAAGCAGGCGAGGGACCTCCCTTTTGGCCGCCCCCACATCCCTTGAAGAAGGCTGGCTGAGGACGGGGCCACAGCTGAAGTCTTTTGCTTTGTCCGTTTAAGCACGTGCAGTAATCATGGAAATGAAGCAGACACGGGAGCTCCCACAGGACCTACCCAATCTGTCTCCCATCCCCCTCAGGCAAGAGCTGCCCAGCAGTCACACCAGCGTCACCTCCACCTCTACAAACCCCAACAAAATCACGAGATTATCTCGTGTGGACTCAAGGAGCCGTGGGTAAACTAAGCTGCTGCAGTGGGACAGGGACGTGGGGTAGCTGAGGAGATGGGGACCTTGTCTGCCTCATCCCCAACCCCTCTGGTGCCAGAGACACCAGAGACAGACGTATCTCAGGGACCGCACGATGAGGATATTGGAGATGTGCTCTGCCTGCACCGCTCATCCCCACTCTCCCCGCTACCTTGCGGAACATCCTCAAGCCTTACAGCACCCCCAGCAGAGCCCAAACGCCTTCCAGTATTTTCAGGTTCTATAGCCCAGCTGCTCAGCCCTGACTGCCTGAGTTTCTGCTGACGCCCAGCTAAAATCAGGACGACCTCAAAGCAGCCACAAGGCTCAAAGCCTCCTCTCTGCCTTAAAATCATAGAAATCATAAAATAATAGAAAGTTTTGGATCGGAAGGGACCCCTAGAGGTCATCTAGTCCAACCCCCCCGCAGCGAGCAGGGACAGCCCTAACTGGATCAGGTTGCTCAGAGCCCTGTCCAACCTGGTCTTGAATGTTTCCAGGGATGGGGCCTCCACTGCCTCTCTGGGCAACCCGTTCCAGTGTTTCACCACCCTCATTGTAAAGAATTTCTTCCTTATATCCAGCCTAAACCTACCCTGTTTTAGTTTAAAACCATTACGCCTCGTCCTGTCACTGCTGTCTCTACTAAACAGATTGTCCCCATAAAAACCACGAGAACCCAGCGTGACATCACCCCTTTCATGCCTCCCGCTTGCACCCATGTCGCCCTACTTGGGACTGAGCAGTGAAAAGTGCAATGAAAGCTCTCCCAGCCTGCCCAAACACACTCCCACACTGCTTCCCCCAGGGACAAACACTGCTCTGGCACGTGCCCTGGCTGAACACATGGTTTTCCTAATGAATACAGCTGCTTTTAATTACAAGTATCCACAGCCACCATGAGCCAGAGAGGAAGGCATCCTCGGAGCGGCAGGGCTGTGTTTGCACTCCGGGATCCGTGCCTGTCGGGCTCCTTTAATGAGAGGGAGCTGCGAGCCCGGGGACGGCGGCTGCCACCGGCTCCTTGCCAAAACCCCCAGCCCAGGGGCTCCCGCCAGGGGGAG